GAAAGATTGTAAAGTTGAACATTGTTTGATAGTAAAAGGTAATTTATTCCAAACGTCAATACTGGAATAAGAAAAGAAATCCTTTAAATAATTTGTATGAGGTCTACTTTGCAGAACAAGATCTTTATGAACGATTAAGCGTAATGTGATAATGTGTGCAAGTTTTTCTGACTTAGTTGCCATTTTAACTTTGTTATATACAAATTTCTAACTTAATTGTTAATAAATAAATAAGTAAATAAATAAATTAGCATATATTTTGCCCTTTGTTATCTGATTATAAAACATCGATACATAGTTTGTTTCTATGTAAACTACTTAAAAATATGACTAAATGGAAAAAATAAATGCGATGGCTTTAATATTCATGACCACTTAAGCTAATACTTGGTAACACTTGACAGTTATTCTTTTTCGACACTTGTCGTAATAATGAAACTTGTTTTAAATACACTTGTTAGGATAGGGAAGTCATGAAATTAAGCACAGTTTTTTTATTTTATAAGAAAAAAACATATTAATTAAATTGAGTGATATAAACAACATGTAAAACTGTTTTTTTAAGGAAGTTACTAGTATTTGTTTCTAATCTAAACTTACAATGAAGCATAGAAGGTGTTTAATCTATATATTCAGCAATTATACGAGTCATAGTTATGGTATCACAATATGTTGTCGGTATTGTTTAACATTAATTCACTTTCACCCATACCGCTGTAAGTTCAAATCCCACCGGAGACTTTGGAATGTTAGGAAGCTAACCGACTAGCTTACGAAACGTCGGAGGTATTACTCAAATGCGCGCTCTTGTCTAAACTTAAGATCCAAGTTTCAACATTCAAATATTTTATTTGGTAACGTAATGATGTCGTTTCTTACTACACAGACACATACATAAGATGATACAATAAAACTTGTCAACATGACACAATTTTAAAGACAACTATTTTAACAGAAAATATGATATTTAAAGCCAAATAAAAGACAAAAAGGAAGAGAGACAACAAGGAGGTTCAACTAATGGCGAATTTGTATGTTATTTGGCTTACAAAATCACGATCAAAATAAATCAAATGTAACATGAAATTATTGAAATATATCAAGGGAAATGTGCATATTACTTTAATTTAAAACGGTAGATACTGTAATAAGTTTATTAAGACATCATACAAACTATACCTTGAAATATTTAAAGGCTATATATATATATATTTACATTATTCAATTAGTATAATGCTGTTGGTTATATTCATAACCATACCGTCTTGTTTCTATTCTAAGTGGGTGAGGAGACAATCTTAACTTTTCAAAAGCAATTCTTAATTTCATTGTAATTTTATCAAGATACAGTGAGTAATCAAATGACGTTTTAAAAAGTCTATATGTGCTTAGGCTCGGGATTGTTGTAACATTATGATACCAGGACTGGATGAATTGGTCAGTAAGACTTTGCTTAAATAATAAGTTATAAATATACCATGCATATGATAAACCTGCATTATCTAATAATGATTTTACAATAGACAACCAGTTACGTTTGTCTCTATTAATATCATTTATCATTTATGTATATAAGTAACTAACTATAACATTTTACTTTTGACAATATTTGACCAGGATTTGCTATTCCGTACACATTACATATAAAGGGTGCATTTTCAGTTCACCATAAAAAGCCGTGCTGCTAGTGGACAGCTTAACACATAATATTGACGTACACCATTTTAGATGTGCTCGTTCTATTTATTTACTGTTACCAAATCCTCATTTTTTACAGGCATACTTCAAAATAGATACATCAAAAGCATCAAACAATTGCAAAGAAGTACTAACTTTAACAAGTGTTTGAAATTGAAGAATAAATCATTGAATGCCTTTAGGGTTTTCCCTACTAAATAATTGAAATTGTCGACTATTTCTAAGGGAATATTATTATATTTCCAACTCTCATTATTTCTAAGCGGACCCCTCTTCCTCAAAACCATAACCTTACTTTTACCTCAATGTAGTTTTAATCCCCAAATAAAGTACAGTAATTATGCAATTTACTTTAAACTATTTTGTATGTCTCCAGGTAATTAACTTAAAATAACAATATCATCAGCAAATAACAGAATAAGTATAGTATCACCTAATGTAAAATCAGAATTAATATCATTTAATAAAGCAGACAAGGGCAGCTGATGTCTTCCCTCACTAGTCTGGACAGTTGCCATATAGAAAATGAATACACATGTGAGTCATTTGTTGATCAGAATTTACAAAAAATACACTAACAGTTCAAACTGATATTTTTTCATGTTATTACAAAAAAACCCAAACAAACACATGCACTGTTGTACAAAACGTATGTCAAAACTTATAAAACTAAGCAAAATAAATAAGGTATTAAATTATGTAAGTATAGGATCCCTTATATGGAACTGTTATGCCTTCAAACGTGCGAACATCAAAATATCAACATGCAAGTCAAATGTTTTAAATGCTTTTTAAGAAAGTATTTACAATAGTTTTCAACACATAAAATATCAGACAGATATTCAGCACTTTACAATAAAGAATGATTTTGTGTTTGATATAATGTCGTCCTTTGTTTATAATTGAAATTGTTACTCTGTTCTCTGTCGGACTCTTTTAATACAGTTCATAGTTGTTGATGACCATTTATCTTCGCGTGTGCGTAATGTTATACGTCCATGAATGACATCAAGTGTCTGGACGAATTTCTCCATATTCATGCTCAGATACTGTAAAAAAAAAAGAAAATAAAAATATTTCAGAATCATGAAACCAACTTAAATGTAGACGAAAGGTTTATTTATATAAACAGTTTATATATTGACACTAAATAACTTTGGTGTTTACAATACGATGATCTGAACAATTAATTCACAAATACCTTGAACTCGTCCAAGATCCTCATAGTCAGGTGACTTTAACACAGTGTCGCTCTTTGTTGCTAAAAATAAACTATTTTATATACTGATATTCTTGTAATATATACACGCAAAGTTACCAAGTTAATGACTACAAAACGAATTATAAAATATGGTTGAAATATACAGGCTACGCTTTGAATACATGCTACTAATTACCTTTTAAACAACAAATACAACATCAACAAAGAAAACTTACAATATCCGTACATTTATATTGCGAGTATGATTAAAACATTTAACTTTAATATAATGCAACGGCTAGATGAACGATATTTGATGACGACATCAGAATCAGTTATGCAAAAAAGCATGAATTTACATTTTCATTAACAATATATAAATGAAATAAGAGTCAAATGCCTAAACTCGCATATTAACACGTTCAACCCATAATGATATTCAATGCGTATTATGTGATTATCAGTACGAAAGAAATTGTTAGTAATTACATATATTCTAAATGAAATGCAAAGAAGGATCTGAATAAGTCAATTAAAAATCTAGAAAAACAACAGGAAATACCTTGTACAATTCCATGCTTGCTGACGCTGCCAGCATTCCCCAAATTTCCACATTCCAGTTCAATGCCTGACAATATTTGAATAATAAGTTTTGTTACTATTTTATATAAAATATTTCCTTTTTTAAACTCCGTGGTAAAAGCATATTATGATCTCGATAGGTAGTCATTTAATTTAAAGGACTGACTGTGCAAAATGGGGATTTAAAGGGAGCAGTGGCTTAATGGTTAAGGTGTCAGCTTCACAATCCGCGGATCATGTCTCCGAGTCCTACACGGATCCATTTCTTTATATGACTTCATTACTGATTGGTTCCAGGAAGCGGACTCGAAAATGATTTATATAAGTGCAAAAACTTGTTTCGCAATAGAGCTTAAATAAATATGTTTAAAATGGATATGAAGAACATAAAAATTATAATGAGAGAAATCATTTATCAGTTAGAAATAAGATTTATATTTACGAGAGTTTTCATAAACAGGTCCTTTCGTCTTGTAAGTATCATTGACCCTGTAATGTAAATTAAATGTTGACCATATTTCTTTTAGATCATTTGACTTGTCATTGATAAATATACAGTACTCAAAAACTGTTGTAATATAATTATCTTGACAAGACAAAATAGTGCACAAAAGTAAGTTTGAAGTGAATACTAGTTTTTACAGTTTCCGAGAAAAAGGACCTAAACAAAAGGTAAACCAATGCCAACGCTGATGCCGACGGCGGGTCATGACAATAGTTTCACTTATTTTTATCTTTTTCCTTTTTGAAAAGTGGAACTAAACAGGCGAACTTTGGTTAGAATTTTGACATATTTCATATATTGCACAACTTTTTGCAACTTTCATGTTCTATGTGTTCTATATTGGAAGTTTATTCAGTTGTATAAATACAAAATTTTGTAACGTGCACGGGCTAGCTGTTATATATATAATTTTTCTTATGGCTACTTTGCCAGTTGATTGGTTACAAATGATTATAAAATGATTAGTTCAAACTTTGGGATCAAGTTTAATTAATAAGTGTTTATAACAGTATAAAAGATAATAAGTTTTTCTTGAACTTTATATAAAATAGAGGTGACACTTTTTAGGCTATTCAATATATTTATTAAACCACTTGGATATCGAGTTTTCAATACTTTAGTATTAACAATTACACCTAACGCAATGTTAAATTGATGCAATTGATAAAACTTCGTAAATAGTGCAAGATTCCAAGTAATTAATCTAAAATATTAATAATTTTTTTGTGATGTTGACACTTCGGCAGCGGGACAGAGACTGATTGTCCGCAGCTTTGAGCTCTATTTATACCCAATAATGTAGTTATATACTAAAATTGAAGAAATCAAGCATCCAAGAGATGTTGATCATGGGTCGAATATTGGTAAGAATGACATTGAGTTCGAATTAGTTTAAGGACGAATTGTTCTGATATTTTAGAAATAATAAAAATATGCACGTTATATCAAATAATTGCTACGAATAAATTGTTAAATTGTATTTTTTACTTATTTATAAAAGATCAAACTCTTAAACCCAAGATAACATATTTGTTTATAATTTAATTAACCGACAATTTAGGTATAAAACTACTAAATATCATTATAAAATCTAGGCAGAAGAGAGCAATTGTCACAATCTTTACCTTTTTCGGTATTTCCAGAGAATCAACGTAACCACAAATATGATGTGAACAACAACTGACACTGCAAGAAGTGTTCCAAGAGATATAGCAGCTGTATTTACTGAATGCTCTGAGGACTTTGTGTCTAAAAATACACCGGTAATCAACAATAATATCTTAGCGTATGATAAAAAGTGTGCTTCATATAAGACAAATTAAAAAGTACATACATTGTGTATCTCTATAAATTCATCAAGGCATAACATATAATTATATTTTATTTGGCTTTCATACATTGCATACTTTCTTCTATACATAAAAAACGTCTATAATTGTTGTCGCAGTTACTAAATTTATTCTTATAATCATCAACATTATTTTCATCATCATTAGCAGCGCAATAACATAATCACCATCATTACAAATTTACAGAGAAGACATATTATGATATTAACACATAACAAAACTAAAAATGAAAAACATATATTTATATCGAATTTATGATAAAAAACGAGCTGTTTTGAATTAATCTTACCTGATGTCAGGGGGCAAATGTGGTCATTCTTTACTTTTATTATGCAGCCTTTTGTACATTTGCCATCGTCTTGCTCACAGAGTGTATCGTTGCAATAAACAGAACATTTCTCAGAACATTGTAAACCATGGAAACCATCTACGCATCCATATAGGCACTTTCCATTACTTTGCTGACATAAACTTCCGCCTGTTGTTTGAATCTTGCATGTAGAGGCACATGAAAAATTGCAACTATCACCATAAAAGTTACTTTTACAACCGTCACAAATACCTGTTTCGATATGACAGGAGTTTAGACAGTTTTGAGGACATTCCTTGTCACATTGGTCATTGAAGTATCCAGACTTACATTGTTTACACCTAGTATCTGACAAACATGTAATACAGTTGTTATTACTTATACAACATCTGTCACCAGAAAAATTGTCTAAACAGCCATTAGTGCACGTTCCTGTATCTCTGTCACATACACCGTTCAAACAATGAATCGGGCATTTTTCAGAGCAACGCGAACCATAAAAACCAGGACGACATCTATCACATTTCTCTCCATCAAAGTTGTCATCGCAATTAAAACAATATCCTGAGTCTCGTCTGCAGCCTGTCTCGTCACAATTATTTGGACAGTCACTACGGCACGATTCTCCATATTTGCCAGGTTTACATTGATTGCATTGTCGTCCAATAAAGTTATCAATACATCCATTTGAACATTCACCATTATTTTTCTCGCACTGCTGAATTTTACAGCCAAGAGAACAAGATATGTTACAGTATTGTCCAAACCATCCTGTTGAACAAACATCACATTTATCACCAATATACGTGTCTATAGTGCATCCGACTGTACAATCTCCGGAATCCTTTTCACATACGTTACCTTTACACCCTGCAGGACATTGTTGATCGCACATATTTCCATATTTCCCGGTTTTGCATTTGTCACATCTTTCCCCAGCAAAATTAGGAGAGCAATGACAGTTTCCAGTCAATATATCGCAAGTGTTTGATATGCAACCAGCTGAACAACTGTTGTTGCATGTCGATCCATAAAAACCAGTTATACACAGAGAGCAACTATCATAGGACGAGCAACGTACACAGTTATCTCGGCATTTGTATGTACAGTCGTTCAACAAAGGGAGGTTTATGTTGTCGTTCTGGTAACCTTTAAAATAACCACCCTGACACGATCCACAATTAGTATTCGATGTACACGTGAGACAGTTACCTGGACATAAACTATTACATTTATTACTGGTATCGTAATATCCGTCCTTACATGATGCGCATTGACCGTTATCACAGTTACAATTTTCAGGACAGTTACGATTACTACAATCATTTCGACCATTGTCATTATAATATCCCTCCTTGCATGATGTGCACGTGGTTCCTCTTGTGCATGTTTTACATCCGGATAAACATTGTGAAGTGCAGTCTCTAGCAGGGCCGGGGTAATAGCCATCATAGCACTCATTACACTTATCTTTATGATCAGGACATTTTGTACAATTGTGTGTACATTTGTCATAACACCGAGCACCTCTATGACCATCAATACAGCCTAGAAAACATTCGTCATTAAACCATACCCCTTGTCTACAGTTTCTATCTATACAGCACGCACAATCTACTTTACATTGTTCATCAATCTCTGTAATGGGAAAAAACAATACTTCATTTTATTTACACTACCAACATCTTATTTGCGTTATCTTTTTTCTTCTTATAACTTGAATTATGTATACATTTTCAATTAACAAATGATAAATATCACGTTATTATCTGTAATAAAGACTGATATAAATTTCGTTACCTCCTTCTACCTGGTTGTTGCTTACATTTAACAATATACACCATACATACAATATCTGAAATGAATATAATGCAATTTTACAAATAATACATAACATGTACTTCTTTTATAAGTTTAGTTAAGCCATACACATTGATAATAAATAACCGTAATCTTTCAATTGAAACAAGTGTTGTTCGTCACAATCTATTTGACGGATACCAAAATTAGATAGGTTCTGTAAATCAATTTAAAAATTAAAAAACAATGAAATTAAAAATTTGAATCTGAGAATATTCACTTGACTTTTTATTTCATCCCTCTTCAATGCTAACAACATTTATTATTATATGATCTAAATATAGCTGCAATCTCATTGGTCCAAACAGTAGTCAACAGAACTTTTTATAAAATCATATTTACTGGGTGTAGTATCATATTCACTGGCTGAATTGGATTTTCCTAGTCTAAAAATAGATTGAGACTCATATTCAATGATCATACACCGTAGACTGTTAATTACGCGTGTTGATTAAAAAATAATTGTTGCTTTTTGTTCTTTATGGCATATTTCTCGATTAAAATATCAATACTTTACTATTATACTTAAAGGTAACACCGCAATGATGAGTATAAACTTGAATTATTTTTGTATGCGCAGCGTTCGCGTAGTCGTTGCACGCCTAACACGTGCGTCTTTTTTTTCCCGCGCTTAAACGAGGCAAAATTTGTACATGTATAATTATAAGGTTGTACTTTTGTGATTTTTTTATTTGTTTGGGTCGTCAGACCAAACAAATAATGGTAGCGAAATTTCAGAGTCTAATGTTGTTAATTGCAAACGCCGAAAGTAGTCCACTTTTTTGAAGCGGTTACTTCCCTTTATATGTACACTAACGCCGAAAAATTCAGGGGAGATCACTGCGTAAAGATGGTCAAAGACAGGCGAATTAATTTTCAAGCAAAATAATTCCCGAATGGTCGAAGATTTCTAATATTGCTTTATTGTATTTTCTGATCGAAATTAAGTAAATACAAAGCGGACATTCAATCTCTGACACAGAAGTTCACAACAAACCTAACAACAAGTAGTTCTCAAAACAGCTTAAAACTAGCGATTTAAAAGAAAGAAATATTTTTATTTTGTTACAAGTATCCAACAAATAACAACGCATTCAAAGTTTAAAAATAGCGTTGGCTAATAGAATTGTCAATAAATGCACAATCACAAATTACGCGGATGAATATGATTTTATCAATGAAAATACTATTTTTAGCGAATACTACACAAACCGAGTAGTGGAATATATAGATTCTACATGTCGGACTGTTTGGGCGAGAAGATTCTCGCTAAATTATTTACTTCAATTTTAAACAACAGGTTTATCCTGAACAAAATACCTCGAAATTAATAAGGATAACAAACCCGAAATGCAATGGAAGTTCTAAATTTAGAATGACTTGATGTTATTCAGACACTAGTTGTATAACTTCCCCGTGGTGCAGGGGTAACGCGCTCGCTTCAGGAGTGAGAGGTCTGGAGTTCAAATCCAAGTCGAGGAAACTTTTTTTTTAATACTTTTTTAAGTGTCTTTGTTAAGGAAGTAGCCATGATATGCAAGGATAAAGTGTGACTGTCGTAAAAAAATGAACATAAATGATTTTTTGATGCATCTCTAGTTATGCAGAATTCCGTATGTATCAAACTCTGGTGCCTTGCAAAATGAATTATAATACATAAAAATAAACTTATACAGGAAACTGCATACAGATATACAGTACGATTAAGATTGCAAAGATCAGAAAATACCACAGAACTTGCATCCCTTTGATTCTTTATAAATATACATGCTTATAGTAAGCTCCAGGATTATTTACATCTGCATGTGTTAAACAACAGTTAAAGTCGTTACAAGCCCTAATTTAGAATAATATGGTTTTCTTCAGGCCGTTCACATATAAATTCACCGTGGCTGAAGGGTTTTCGCGCTCGCCTATGAAGCGAGAGGTCTGGAGTAAAGGCAACTCATTTTTTTTTTCAAATCGATTAAGTCAAATAAACATTGGATTGCATATCAGTGTTGCAATAAGTCTTATAGCCAATTTACTACAATTAAAACGCTGGAAAGCATTGGTGGCACTATACATATAATCTCACAACCTGCACCTTTCTTACATTCTGAGACCCAAACAAATTCAGCACCTTCTGTGCTTTGATTTAATTTCTAATTATTCATATAATAAAACAATTATTGACTAGTGAACCATTGAATATGATGTGATGTTCACCGGCAGAAAGTCATATTGACCTCGGCAATCGCCTCGGTCAATATGTCATCTGCCGGTGAATATCACATCATATTCAATGGCTCACTAGTCAATAATTGTATAATAATAAACTATGGTAAATAACTTCAACATGTTCTCCACATAACATTTATAACATTTGTTTACTTTAACCTTCAGTTTAAAAACTATTTTGAATCTTGTACATATTTGAACTAATATAAGTTAGCTTCCTAGAATAAACCAGTAATGGTGTAGGATGTGCCTGTGCATTGAAAATATAATATATAATCTTGTAATGAAACGTGTGTCTGGGGATTCAAATTTACCTTGCTAAATTGTAGAGTTTTGATATCAGTTTATCATATTTACAAATGAAGAAATAACTTGAAGATAAAAATAACTGAAAATTGGATATCATAAGATTGAATTAATGAAATAAAAAACACAATTCTGATCTTCAATTATAATATGTTAGAAAAAATGGGTCAAAGACACAAAAGGCCGGTTGCATTTGTATACCAAATACCATGAGGAAGTGATGATACGATAAAAAGCACTGACCAATAATGTCGAAATTTATCTATGTCGATAAACTGGAAGTGGATGGGCAACATTCCTGAACTCGTACCCAAAGGTATGGAATCACATGTTCATGCTGTATACCGAATATCAAAAAGCTGTATTAAGAAGATGCTGAGACAATTTCCCAGTTAACAGGAAGTGGATGAGCGACAGACCTGAATCGAATCCCACAGTATGTGACCAAGTGTCAATACTGTATGCCATATATTAAGAAGCTGTGATAACTAGTTGCTGAGAAAACTGTTACGAAAATTTCCTACCATTGACCATTAATGTCGAAAAATTTAACCAAGTGTGTAAATAGGAGGTGGATGAGCGACAGACCTGAAATAGAATTCCACGGTATTGGACTACGTGTCAATATTGTATGCCACATATAAAGAGGCTGTGATAAGTAGTTGCTAAGAAAAATGTTACGATTTTTTTCCCGACCGCCCGCCGCCCGACACTCACCATACTATAAATCTGGTTTGCACCTGTGCAACCCGGCCAAAAATATTGAATAAACAAAAGCATATTAATAAAATAACTATCACATTATTGATTTTATGAACTCTAAATGTAAAGGGATACATGTAATAGGAGATGTTATACAATGTACATTTTCAAAGAAAATTTCAAGGGAAGTTTTATTCAGTGACATTGTTAATAAAATTGTAACGTGCACCGAGCTTATACCTGTATGATACTAAATTTTCCTCTGGCTTCTTTGCCTTATGATTATTTGATTGAAGACCAATGATTTATATTGCTTAATAAATGTGCATGAATTACCAAATTGAATTAAATATATAGATATAATTTTCCTCGAGACTACCTTGTCTTTTAATTGAAAAACGAATAATGATTTCTATACCTATTAAACAATTTATTAAATTAATATCCTTTGAAATACTATTTATATATATACGTTCCCTCTTTCTCGATCTCTATATCTCTACTAATAAAATTATTCTTAATCTTCCTTTATTAATCTTTAATCCTTGCTTTCTTTCTACTTAATATTTCTCAGCCTTATCACAGCGCTATGCACTGTGCAACTAAGAATATAAAAAGTAGGTATAGCATTTAGGATTGTCGACTGTTCAACACGCTGCCAAAACACCATCTCTCAATTTCTTACATTCACCTGCCTTATATACTGGCTCGGAACTGCTTGCGCCCTCTGTCGTCTTCCATATCTTGCAAACGCTTGAATAAATTACTTCCATTGAATCAACTACTGCTTACCTTTTTAATATGCGTTACTTTTATATATAATTACATTACCCGGGAACCATCGCCAAAATAAATATAATCTTACCTTTTCTACATTAAATAGTATAGCTGCAAACTATTACTCATTCTTGATTAAAAGTAAAAGGTAATCAAATCAAGCAACATCATCAAACATGTTTGAAATCAGCTTACAGATACAATTTATGAGAATTATCTTTTCTGGAAATATTTGTTTGGTTGAACACAAATGGTACGTACTTATTAAGGGGAAGTAACTTTTCTATATTCGCTACAAAATGAGAGTCTGACGCACCCATACAAGATAAAGAAATGATATGCCCAAGGGATCAATATCAACAGTATGATACTACCAGACCTTCTTCGATAAACGTCATCAATACTTTGAAATTCTTTTACTAAACAAAATCTTTAAACATTTCCCCATGACTTTCCAAAACAAAATTATTTTCATATTATATAGCAAATAATGTAACATTATAATTATGTAGATAAGTTTACAGCTACTTACACGAATCAGGGTATTGTATGCTTTTAATTCTCTTAGAAATTTCAAGTCCTGATGAAAACAAGTTTTCTTCTTTATAAAGAAACATGCGAGAGGTTATGTTGATTTTTGTTGAAGATTTGTTTGTTCAAATGACGGAACATTTACAATTTCTGAGCAACATATCGGCTTTTTCCGCTAGTCTCCGGATAAGCTCTTATTAAGAATTGTATCATAGTTTGGGGACCTTTCTGTTGAAAATGTGTCAGGGATAAATCGTATACATATACATGCACAGTGCGTTAACTGGAGTGCGGGTATTAGTTACCCGCACTCCAGAGCATGCCCATTGATTGGCTCATTTTTGCTGGGGTTTACATATTGTGACGGCAGAGAAAGGGAAAGCGACAGAAATGTCATATTCAGATGTTCGTTCATTGGTTCATTTTTGCCGGGGTTTCATATTGTGACAACAGGGAACG